AAGTGTGAGCTGGGGCTTCTTGATCAAAAGAGATAAATCACAGTAAGCGTCCTGTTAACAGCCCTTTTCCCTTTGGTCCTGTTTGAAAGATTGCTGTGGTCCTATTACAGATATTCACTCTCATTTGTGGCCAGGCAGGGGAAATYTGTGGCTGGGATCTTATACTGCTACTTAAGCCACGTTTTCTGTTTCCCATAGAACAAGCAAACACAGACACCARGGTTGGAGGAGGGGAGGAAAAGGAGAAATTTTAGCTTATCCTTCTATATTTTATGCATCAGCTGCTAAGGGAGACTTCGGTCCAGCCTATAACCCAGCCTCTTCCTCCAGACTTGTCAAACTTGTACTGGAGCTGGACACAGATATGAGTTGTTAGAGTTGCTCTGCACCTTCAGCACTGCTGAAGGATGCCAACCASCAACAGCCACCTGGAAAATTAAGATGTAATGTAGCAGGAAGAATAATTATGTGAGAAATGAAAAATAGAATAACAGGAAAAATCTAATCATCATGGCTGTTGTCGGGATATAGCCGAAGCTAGAGATGAAGGGCCATCTCCTTCCTCATTGCCCACTCTGGCATAGCTGCCTTCAGAAGTAGGATCAGATYGGAGACAAGTGGGAGTCAGAAAGCAGAGGGGGATCAGGAGCCATGATATGAGGGTCTGCATTTAATCCTCCCAACCTCATTTGGTAAATCACGGGCTTTAAATGAACCAACTAAGTGAATGAGGCCCAAAATTGTGCCTGAAAGCACACAGTGGTAGACTCTATGGAAAATTATTCATGCAGTTTCCTCTGCTCTATTTCTTTATAAAGCTTTTGAGCATGCAAAGCCACCCAAATAACTGAAGAGTGTTATTGTCTCTGACTTTCAGGAGTTACTCAAAGGACTCTAACAGTCCTAGAGGCAACCAGGAGAATAGCTTTCCAGTTGCTAACACATTATCTCTTGTCTTTTTCCTGGAGAGAGATGCTTAAAGCTCAYTCTCCTGCCCTTCTCCTGCTATATCTGTGTCCGTAGCACTGCATGGTTTTCAAAACAGAATCTTAAATTTAGCTTACAGCTGTCAAGGGATTTAATAACCTTTTAAAGGAATCAAAAAACRACAAAACATGGACAAACAACACAATGTTTTCACTAGGTATACAGTTTGTTTGATTACTAGGAGCTGATATCTGGTAGAGGGATGGCAGGCAGGGAAGATCCACAGAGCAGCTATTTTCTGTGCTGCTTCCCACTTTATTCCAGAGAAAATCACTTTTCTCCATCTGCAAGGTATCAAAAGGCCTCACTTTCCCTCACTGCCTGAGGTCACATGAAAACAGTCACCTGTGACAAGCCCAGAGCACAGAGGAGTTGTGTTGTTTTCTGTGGATCCTGGAAGCCAAGGTCCTGCATGTCTCATCATAACAGTAATGAAGATTCCCAACATCAATGCCAACAGCCTTCCTAGCTGCTACAGAGGCACCTTTTCGGGAATGAAATGAAGGGAGTTCTGCTCCCATGCCCATTACTGAATTCTCTGCAGAAACTTCCAACAAGGATGCCAATTAGTGTTAATTGGGATTTTTTTTAATATGTAAATACTTGTTCATCAGGAATGTGACTGGTGGCCTGAGACAAGTGACTCATTTTGCTGTCACTGTAAAAATCATTGTACAGTTTGGAGGATCTTTAAAAAAAAAATAGAGCAGACCTCATACCTGCTCCCATTGAAGCTCAAGCATTTTGCCATCACTGAAGGAGAGAGTTTTCCCTTTGGATCCTGGCCACTTGTCCTAAGGATAATGCTGGATCTGCTTGCAAGAAGAAGGTCYTACTGAACAAAATATAGTCAGGTCTAGGGCTGCTGATGTTAGCAGCACCTTGTGCTTTATTTACAAGCGCTCTTAAAGCTTTCTGTTTTGATGATCAATTTAAGAAGACCCAGTTTGAAGTCAGTGTTACTTTTCATGAGTGCTGAAATCAGTTTTCATCCAGTCCGTATGTATGAAGCCCTTCAATTTATTTTCAGTTCCTCCCCAAATGCTTTCCAAACACCTAAGTATCATTGATTCACAGTAAGCTCAAAAGAGAGGGGAAAAAAAAAAAAAAAAAAAAAAAAAAAAAAAAAAAAAAAAAAAAAAAACACCTCACCAGCTATTTGTGCTCCTCTGATGGAAAAGCACTTGGTTTCAGTACAGCAGGAACCTGACAGCTCCATTAAGAACCTGTCAGAAATCAACTGTGTTTAAAACAGAATCCAGCCTCTGGGCTCCTTCTCAAGTGCGAGGCAGGAAGGGAATGAGCACAGGCACCGCAGAATAAAGGTGAGGGACCCCAAATGCAATTTTAAACTGTTTACCCAGGGAGGCAGGTAACCAGCCTAAGGCATCATTCTTGAAGAACTCTCTCGGCAGGGAAACTGGTTTTGAAAAATGCTGCTCATTTGGTTTTTCTGTTCCTGACCTGTGGCCCTAATGCGTGGATCATAAGCAAAGCCAAGATCAGAGATGACAGATCAGTTTTGCTCTCAGATACAGTCAGGTAGATGAATAAATTCAACTCAGTGAGTTTTGGCATTTATGAACAACAGCTGGAAAATTCCTTTTAGCACTTCCTTGACATGTATCAATTGAAGAACATGAGGTTTTTCTTTAAGGGCAATCAGCTGCATTGGTCCCCATTCAAGCCTCCAGCTTTCCCTGGGGTGGCCTTGCCCAGCTAGTGCTTTTGTCAGTGAAAATGAGGCAAAGCTTTGAAAATATTTCTCTTCTTTTTATCATTTCCCCACTTCTCTACATACACAGAATTTCAAACCAATAGATTTTGAAGCCTCAGAAATTCTTGTATCACTTAACTTGATCTCTGTAAAGCACATACCATGGAATATTTATCTTGTCTCTGAATCTGGTCACCTGATTTTGAAGGAAATATAGCATTATGCACAGAAATCTAGGAAGTATGACTTAGTCTTGATTAATAAAAGCCCTGAATCATGGTCTTCCTCCCTCTTGCCAGTCCAAATCCATGGTCACAAAAATTCCTTCACATTGGCAATGACTGGAGTTGCTTACCATCTGGATATCAGTGATTTTTAAACAGAACTCATTGCTTTTTTTTTTCTTCTAGCAGAATTCAGCATTCAACAGCATGAGGAAGGGGCCCAGCACCCAGTGCTACTGTTTGTCCTTATTCCTGGCTCAGTATCTCTCATCAGCAGAAGGGCTGCTTAGTAGAAACCAAACTGTCCCGCTAAATTCCCACAGCCATCCAGGTGAAAGAAAGCATAGCGGCATTTCCTCCCAGTTTGCCTGGTCTAACCCTCTCCAGCTACWGAAGATTGCTTCTCATAGACCTCCGTGATGGCTATGGAGAAGCCCCAGTCACAGGGAGCGATGCCCAATGTGGGAAGGAAAATCAGATCCTTGTGTGGAAAGCAGAGCTGGTCTGGAAGGGGATGTGCATGGGAAGAATCATGACAGGGGTTAAAATCTTCAGAGAAAGAAGTCAATGCAAGGCTGGACCTCAAAGATCTGTGTGGTGATGGGTCTCTAGATGACGATCTAGCTACCAAGTCCATTGAGAAGGGATGACATTGAACACAAATTCAGAATTGGCTCTTTGCTTATTTCCATGGCCAGGACATAGTGCTGAAAACAGGGAGGGCCATTACGCAAAAAGGTGAAGAAATGGACTTTCTCCAGAAGCTTCCTAGAAGAAATGTCCAGTGGTCCCATTGCAATAAGAAAACATCTCCAGCCCTACTGAGCTCMTATCAAACATGCCATTCCCCTCTAAGCCTGGGCTAGACTTCGACCATCTATCAATCCCCAGTGCTAAACCCAGTGTGTATTGCTGTGAATTGCCATATGGAAAGATGTAAATGCTATCTCAAGGTTAATGTGATGAGCCTACTTATTATGAGTCATGAAACAACTCAAAATTTCCTAGCCTTTGACACAAATTATTTGAAAGAAAAAAAAATGTCAAAACCAAACACCCCCCCCAATAATTTACTACATTTGCATCATTACAGTGGTAACCTCATGACAAATACCAGTGATACATAATTTAAAGTGGAGGAAAAGAAATATTGAGTGCTCAGCTGCTGAGAAAGGCAGTGTCCATAAATGCAAATAGTCATTTTACTTGCTTTCATAATAGTAATAAAAAGATTAAAAATAAAAATCATACACGTAATATCAGGCCAAACACTGAAAAATACATTAATGTAACTTGCTGTATTGCTGTTGGTCCTGAATAATAAGGGTGGGGTTCATAGTAAAAAGCACACTGGAGCAGGCATGTTTTCTGTTCACAGAGGGTTGTCTGGTGCTACTTGTTGATCCGTGTAGCTAACAGTGTGTTGCTTTTCTAATTATGCAGAAAATTATCTTGCCAAACTGGTCCTTTTCCTGCAGATGGCTCATGTGCATTTTAGTGCCTGTACAGGTGTGTAGCACTCAAACATTGCTTCCTGGTAATGGCATTTCTGATCCAGGCTGGAGCAGTAGCCTGTTAATGTCCTCTTTCCATGGGGGAAGCTCTAGGCACAGGCAGGGCACACAGTTGCCCTGGGCAGAGGGGATAGGGAAGCAATGCTGGGCTGTGGGGTAGGTGCCAGGAGGCTCTGGGGCAACCCCCAACACTCACCCCAGCCCTGTTAAGATGACGGATGGGAAAYAAAAAAAAAAAAGGGAAATTAATGTGATGGTGCCTGAGGGAACCTCTTTGATGTCAATATAAAACAAGTGAGTTTATCCTCAACTCTGCATGTATCTCTACAAAACGCTAAGCTGAACCTGAACAGATGCATAAACATCTCATGAGCAAGGTGTGCCTATTTAAAAACAAACTAGAATTAGATATACTTAAATCCCAAGAAATCAGCTCACGACTCCCAGTCTTCTTTGCTTTACCTTCTTTTTAATCAATGAAAAAGGGTACATTATATTTCTGATGTCAGAGGCTTCCTCTCTGAGCTGCTATCCCATTGGCAGGGTGATGGGCTGGCAGGGATATGCAGCTCCTTAGGACCTGCACATTCAGAGTAACTGACACCCTCCTGATCTCCACTGGGCAGAGGGCCAGGGTGAGATGTTGCAGAGTGGTTACAGGACCAGGAGTGTCACATCTGTGATGCTCAAGAAATTCTACTCCCCACATGGCTCTTTACTGCTGACGTCTCACTCTTTTGCACCTGGAAAGGAGAGCACAGGAGAAAAATCATGAACTGGAGGAGTGTGTCCGAGTGAGACAGTGTGTCATTGAGGCTGCCAACAACCATAGACCTCATGGAGCTTGGGAAATGTCTCTTAGCGTCCTGCAGGTTCTGTAGATCTGTCCACAGTGGCTGGGAAAGGTCAACTGAAAGCACCCGACAGCATGCAGCACTTCAGGCTCCTTCTGAGGAAGACAGGGAAGGTGAGAGATGCCATTTCGAAGACAGACACTTACTTCATCTAACAAATTACTCAGAATATTCCCTCTTTCTTAGGAAATTTATCTTTAAAGTGAAAAAAAAAATCTGTAAATATGCCAAGAAATGTGTTCAGATCCTTCTCGCTGCATTTCAGCCTGCAAACTGCAGATCAATGAAGTCAGCCATAGGGTCTTTGAGTAACAGAGATGATGGAGAAGGTGGTTTGAGTGAGGCACAGARGGTGTGCTGCCACAGGCTGCTGGGCTAGCATATGATGGATCTTGTGGAGCTTCTGCRCTATTGCTTTTGAGGCAGCAGTTCACTTGAATGACCTTATAGATAACTCACRTGGGTCCCACAGCAGCATGTACTGGTAACAATTATATATTTGTGCTGAAATAGCATAAATGAGACAGAAACATTGAAAGACTAAAAAGATTTCAGATTCAATTGTAACTATTTAAATAGTAATTTGTGCTTGAATCCAATAGGACTATTCATATATGTAAAAGTTACTGTGAAATATTAGGATCTGCACGACTCTGAGGATTTGTCCTGAATTTTTCAGGGAATAGAGCAGAAAGCCTAGCAAAGCAAAACCTCTGAGGGGGGTTTCTATAAACACACCAAGGGATTAAGTATCAGAGACAAACTCAAGCTAAAGAAATCTTTGAGGAGGGGGAAGGGGGAGCCACTCTACACTACATCCCTGGCTCACTAGGTTTAAAAATAAATAATAATAATAATAATAATAATAATAGTAAAATGTTTAACTGAACATCAGTTCTTACCTAACTGGCAACAGACCATTCCCACATGACTCCTATCACCTATATCCCATTCCACCAAATGTAGCTGGAAGGATGCCATGCAGCACGGTTCCTCTTCCTGCTCATCCCAAGTCCTCCTTGCAACACCTTTCCTGTTCTTATCAGCTGGAAATCACAACGAGGATCAAGATCTAACTATTATTATACTCACCTGTCTTCTAATTTGCCATTAAGAAGTCATTCAGAGAGGGTTCCACAACTTTCTCCTTATAAAGTAAATACTAATAACATCGGTTATTTCAGTGTACCTTGCAAGTTCTTAAAAATCCATGYTCCCCTCCAATCTCAAAAAAAAAGTAGTATAAAATTTTTATTCTGCAAATGTGTCCAGTCTTAATTATCTCAAATGATCCCATCCAAACACAACATAATTGGAATAACTCYATTATCATCCAACAGCTCAGTCTTCTCCCCAGTGGATAAAGGACATGACATCTTATAGGATATGAAGATTTCTTCAGAATTCAGTTTATTTCTCAATCCAGATCAACACAGTAATCTGCTCCCTTYGATAGCACATCAGCAACATCTGCATCTATTTAGCAGTTAATCATATTCTTAAGCAGGAAAGCTGAAATGTAAAATACCAGCTTAAGTAGGGACGATTTTTTGTTCTATTTTTTCTTATAATTATATTATTTAATTTTATAAACTCCTTATAGAGGGTTTTGATCACCCCTAAACCTGCCAGAAGGCCAGCACAACAGGGCGTAAGGAAAGCAGAATGTGCATTGATTTCCCATAGTGCGGGTGTCAGGCCTGGCCTTCTGAAATCACCTGTTTGTAGGGAGACCTTCCTGCTCTGTTTGCTGCTGGCTGTGAAAGTTTCCTCTTCCCTGGGCACTAACCGGGCAACTTGAAGCTACTCCTTCCTCYGAAGCTCCCAGGTTGTGAACCAGCTTTGCAGTATCACAATAGTCAAGTCCCACAAAAGACTGAGATATCAGAAGCAGAACATCTTAGGGTCAAAAAAGTTTCTTACCAACTTCTTACCAGCTCTGTTCTTGAGCCAATCGATAGAATCAAATGCTTAAAAGTAGGCGTGGGGATAACCCCATTAGTCAGAAATAAATGCAAATATCTTAATAGTATGCCTAGATGATTTCAGAGTTTTGATTGTTTTTGCAATTAAACTACATATTTTCCTGGTCCTTAAACATAATTCCCAACAAATGTAAGAGTTTCAGTGGGAGAGTGCAGCTTGTTTTTAATTTGTAGACATACTGCATTGTGCAGAAATGAAAAGGGCACTGATGACTGCGTTTTCATTCTGCCCATGTATTTTACACCCTCGAACAGCAAGATAAAAATCAARCTCTCAGATCTAATCTTTCCCCCTCTATCAATCCAGCTGCTAATTCCTCAAAGTTGCTCAACTCATTGTCGAAGTGACCGCAGCTGCAAGCCAGTAGCCCTAAACATATATATATTAAAAAAAAAAAAAAAAATCCCCTCGAACAGATTAAAAAAAATAGCCTTAATCTCACCCATTTGTCCTCTCTCTCCCCAGATTATCGCCCCCGACAATTCATGGGCCACTTCTCCCCCTGCGCCGCCTAAATTAGGCGGTTGCGTGAGAAGGGACCGGCGTAGAAATGCACGTCCTCTGCAAAACGGACTGCCCGAGGTTTAAGAGATTACAAGGATGAGTCATTAGAGAAGACTTACTGCCGGCCGACTGTTTCGATAAATACACGTTTCCTCCAGAGCAAAACCGGCAGCGGGACCCAGCTCCTCGGCGCCGCCGCGCTYCAAACCGCCAGCCCCGAAACGCGGTCCCGCAACGGAGCCCTAATGAGATCAATGTGGAGGATTGCGGCAAATGGCCTATAAAGCGATCTTTAAATGGGATTTCCTGCAACAAAAGCTAGCTCCCAATAACCGTTTCCAATAAGACGGGGTGAAAGAGGTTGGGATTGAAGAGTAATGCCCAAGACGGAGACAGGGGCAGAAGGCTTTGTAATCTCCCTACAGGCGACTACTGAGTCAATTTGTTAGTCTTTTCATCACGAAAATAAAGAAAATGTTAAAATAAATCTATACAGCTATAGCCAAGCCCAAATTGCTATGAGACTCCAACTTGGTAATACGGAAATATACTGATAGATTTGCGGTTATTACATTAAGGTAGGATCTAGGAATAGAGTCACAGGCGACAGCAAGCATCAGCCATATTCGTGTCTCTTTCCTTTTCAATTCCCGATGAAGTTCCCGAGGTGGGGCGTGAGAGAGAGAAAGATGAGGAAGAGGAGAAATTGTAACTTTTAATAATCAAAAAAAAAGGTTGAAATAGATTTTTGTTGTTGTTCAAAACCTTGAAACTAAGGGGGGGCACGCAGAGCAGGTGGATATTAGGACATTAAAATTCTGTTTAAACTGTTAGAGACAAAGAGTTTCTTACCTAGCCCCCGTGCTTCTYGTGGCAGGTCTCCTTCCTCTCCTTCCAGCCCCTCGCTCACAAACCCGAAAGTTTCTGYTGTCCCAAACGAGAAATGGGCTGCAGGGAGTGCATGGACCCCTGGGCACCTCTTGATCTTCTGTGGCTTTCCCCCCGCCCTGCAACATCGAGCCCCAAAACACGCTTCCCAAAGGGCCACTTATAGCACTGCTGGGRGACAGCGGTCAGCAGTGTCCTAGAGCAGGGTCCTTCGGAGGGGAYAGAGGTCCAGGGTCACCCCGAGCCGCCTCTGCCGCACAGTCTCACCCTGGAGAGGCAAAGGACTTTGCGCGCTTTTTTCAGAACTGGCCTCCACAGCCGCACACTGTAATACCCCCAGCCCAACTCTTTGCCGTTACCTCCGCCTTGAAAGGAAAATTGAACTATTTCAAGTGCTTTTCCCCCTTCCTTTCGCTTAAGAGGGAGGGGGGTCGCTCCTTAGGCACAGCTGGCCGTGATTTTCCGACACTGCCTTACCGTAAGCGCGCAGTTAAGAATAAAATAAATAAAAACCGGAGAACTCGGAGAAGGGACTTTTCGCATTTCACAGCTGTCCGCGCTACTCTCTGGTCTTTAAACTGGAATTTGCAACACTTGGGAATTTCTTTCCACGTGGAGGCTATTAACGGGGCATTTATTACTGCTAACGAGCAATTTCCGTGTTAAAATGCATGTAGCTTTATCAGCTTCAAATCKCCAGCCCTTCCCTTTCACAGCAGGAAAGACAGTGTTTAGACAAAACAGTTAGCAGCGCTCCTTGCTCCTCATCTTTCCTCGACGTCCTATTGCTGTTGGGGGGTAGTAATGTGCAAAACCCTGTTCAGCTTCAGCGAATACCCTAGACATTTGGGTACCGTTATCTTATTAAGTGAAAAAAAAAAACAAACAAAAAAAAAAAAACAAAAAAGCCCACCAATCCTTGACTGCCCTGACCAGTAGAAAAGGCAAGAGAAGTTTTTTCATTTGCCACTTATCTTGACTGTCACCCGGGTGGCTATCACAGCTGGGCGTTACGTGGAAAGCGAGCAAAGAAAATGACAACGGGGGGGACAAGTGGCGCTTGTCCCCCTTCTGCCTGTGGCGCCTTGCCAGGGGCTGGGGGATTTCGGTCCCCTTATCCCTATATTCCGCCTTGGCCCCATTCCCCAGCGGCGCTCCGCAGGTGCCCAGGAACCCTCCTGGCATCCCCGCTCCCTCCCGCACCGCAGCCCCAGTTTTTTTTTGGAGGGGCGTTGCTGCCAGCTACAGAACCTGGGCTCTCCTCGCCGCAGAAAGAAGAAACGGCCCCTTTGCCCCTTCCCTGCCCCCAGGCCGCCCCACTTGAGGATTAACAGAGTAGATGGGGCAGAAAAGGCAGCAGAGCGGGGGGAGCGAGTTCGCTCATTAAGGCGGCTTCAAAGGTGACTCTTCTCGGCCATCCCGCTGATCCTGAGCCCTTTGGTCTCTTGGGGGCCCGCTCCCCGCCCTCCCGGCTTGTCCAGGTATCCGCGGCTGGCTCCAGGCGCGGCCGGGGGCGAGGGCAGCCAGGCCGCAAGGATGAGGAGCTGCTCCTTTTTCTCGGCCTGAGAGGGTCCCGCTGTTTATCCCTCTTCCCCACATTTCACTTCTAAGATGGAGAGGCTCTTGCACTATGCAGGTGAGGAAACGGCTAAGGAGCAGAGGTAGGATAGAAAAAAAAAAAAAAAAAAAAAACCCCACCCTGGGGCTCGAGCGCATCCTCATCCGAGCCCAGCTCATCGCACCCGTCAGCGCCGCAAGCAGCAGAGGGGGCAGCTTGTTCCCCCGCTCCCCGAAATGAGAAGCCGCCGGGAGAGCCGCCTGCCTCTGCCGCGCCGCCACCAGCGCGGGGACCCGCGCAGACAAGCGCCTGACAACTAATCAATACTGCCCATTAACAGCTGCTTCCAGGAAACGGTGTGAACCCGCTCATTTCCCCTCTCCCAGCCCAACAGCAGAGCAAATGCAAGTACAAGGTTAAAAGCTGAGATGACAATATTCGTATACACAAACAAAAGCAAACAAATACAGGGGAAGAAAAGAAAGAAAKCAGATATGCGCTCCATTCGTTTCAAGGGAAGATGTCGAAAACCGTAATTTTGCTTCTCTTTCCCGGAAAAAAAGACAAACAAAAAAACAGCCCTAGGCTGTTTGCTAAGCGCCTAGGGACGAGCATTGCGGTATTTCAGGGCTTCTACTTATTTCTTAACGGTTCCCCACGCGCAGATCTGAGCCCGCAGCCTCCCCGCGCCGCGTTACGAGCCGGGCAGCCGCGGGCCGGGGCGTTGTGAGAAGCGAGAGCTACTTTATCATTATCTTTCCGGAGAAATAACAACAAACCCGTTACTGATATTCCAAATTTCGCAAGAAACGATTCCACCAGCTGTTTATTCTCACACCAGAGCCTTTTTCCTAAGAAAAAAAAAGACTACCTATTTTTGTATTTTAAAAATAAATCCGCCAACATTTCTTTCTTGTTCTTATTTTTTTTTAACGACTTAAACGATTAGACAGCAATACAGACTCTCTTTTTTCCCTCTCTTTTTTTTTTTCCCCCTTCTTTCTCCGCCTTGTGCCGTTAAGAAAACCCCTGGGGTGGGCGGAAAAAAAAAAAAAAAAAAATCTGCGGAGAAACACGCCGGGAACCTAACGGGAGACCGGGCCCTGCTGAGCCGGGCAGGGCTGCTCCCTGCGGAGACAAGCGCGGAGTTTGGGCACCGCCTTGAGCCGCGTGCGCAGCCGAGGGAACCGCCGGCCGGAGCGCTTCTAAATGCGCGGGTGACTCAGTCTCCAAGCAAGGTTGGAGACTTGCTTCTCGTCTACGTGTTACGGGGTTAATGAGCTGCTACCTCCGACACAGGCGCAAGGAAGGGCACAAACGCGGAGGTGCGCGGCGTTTGTGCCGTGTCCCGGCCCGCACCCTCCGGCTGCTGCTCCCGCGGAGGCGGCAGGGCAGGGGCCAGAGGCGCTGCGGCTGTTGTGTCTCGTCTGGGTATTGCGTTGTATGCGGTGTTGTGTGCTGCGTTGTGTTGTGTGTCCCCAATGATGGGCGGAGAGGGTCCCTGGCTTAAACTCTGAATCGGTAAAATGCCCCTACCTTTTATTCTAGCTCTTTCTCTCTTTCTCTCTTTCTCTCTTTCTCTCTTTCTCTCTTTCTCTCTTTCTCTCTTTCTCTCTTTCTCTCTTTCTCTCTTTCTCTGCTCCTTTCTTATTCTTTTTTTCCCCCCTTTTTTTTTTTTTTGGTTCATATTCCTTTCTTTTCCTACTTTTCCCCCCTTGTTCGTTCATTCTTTCTTTCCTCTCTCCTCTCTCTTCTTTACTCTTTTCTTTCTCCTTTTACCTTTTTTTCTCTCCTTACTTTTTTTTTGTTTACCATTTTCTTTCTTTATCCCACTCTTGCTCTTTTCTATTTTTTCTTTTCCTCTCTCTCCTCTCTCTTTCCCATTTTTTTTTACCATCATCCTCTCCCTCTCTTCCAACCTTTCATTCTTTCCCTCTTTCTTCCATTCTTCCATTCCTTCCAGTCGATAGCTCTGACTGAAGGAGATCCCGTGTGATTAACTTACAGGTAGACGAAGGATAGCGCTATAATCAAGCCAAAGTGACAGAAAAGGTGAAAAAGACCCGTTTTATTCTAATGCCGGAGGGCGGCCCCGCTCCTCTCTGCYTCTCCCGGTCCCTCAAACTCCATGCCCGCTGCTCCGGGGACCCGGGCCTTCATGGGGCGACGTGGGCGACAAGAGCCACGTCAAGAGCGGGGGACAACAAGAGCGACAAGAGCGGGGGACACGCGGCCGCCGCTCCTGCTGCTCGCGACTCCGCACACGGCATCGCTCCCATAAATGCCTGCATAAATGCCGCCAAAACCCCGCAAACATTTCTGTTAGCTCAGGGAGTAAAACACAAGCAAACAACAACAACAACAACAACAACAACAACAACAAAAGCAGAGGTTTGTTCCAAGTTAAAATCGCTTCTCGCTGAGCTGGGAGTGAAAGGCCTTTTCTTGCCACATAAGTCCTCTTAAAGGGAGGCACGAGGCGACGGAGGAAAAAAAAAAAACCATAAAACACGATCATAGATTCTGGCAAGTCTTGAGTTTCTCTTTGGGGGAATCAAAGGAAAACACCAAATATCCCAACCAGCAAAACCAGCTGCAATTCCGAAGAGCGAAAACCCGAGGCATGAATAATTTTCGGGGTTTTGACGTGGTGCTAAAGTCATCTAAACTGACGTGCACCTGAATTTTAAAGTTGGTCCGCACGCAGCCATCTGCTAAAGCAGTCGGCAACTTTTAAAATAGACCATRGTCACTTTATTTCTCCCAAATACGATGTAAAGAACAAGTAAACCTTATAACTGTAACG